GAACGCGCCCGCGCCCGGGAGCGCGAAGGACCGCGCGCGCAGCGCCGCGGGCGCGCGCCGCCTGGGCAGGAAAAGGGTGCGACATTCCCAACTTCAAAGGCTCCGATCTCGGCCGTTTTCCGCTCGTTTCGGCTGATTTTTGGACGAGCGATCATCTCTCGGAGCGCTCTGGAAGCGTGGGCGCTGTTTCCGAAACGCGCGCGCGCGGAACACTCACGTTGAAGCGACGTTGAATCACCCTCGTCCTGCCCCGCGCGCCGCGGGAGCCGCCAGGCGGACCGCGCGACGAGGACGAGGCCCGCGCGCGGGAGCGCGGCGACCGCGGCGGCGCAGTCCGCGAGCGCGGGCCCGTCGCACGCGTCGGCGTCGCGGACGACGACGGCGACGGCCCCGCCGCCGCATGCCGCCGCGCGCGCGGCCGCCGCCGCCGCGCCGAGCGCGCCCGCGCGCGCCGCGACGACGGTCCCAAAGCCCGCGCGCGCGAGCGCGGCCGCCGCCGCGCGCGCCGCGGCGGGCCGGAGCCGGTCGCAGAACCCGCAGCGCACGACGGCGCAGCGCAGCTCCTCGGCGTGCGCCGGCGCGGCGACGTAGGCCGCCGCCGCCGCCGCGGGCGCCGCCGCGAGCGACGCGGCGCAGGCGCGGAACTCGGCGTCGAGGGCCGCCGCGAAGGCGCCGTAGGCGTCGACGCGCAGCGCCGCCGCCGTCGGCGACTCGCCGGCGTAGCGCGGCGAGGACGCGCCGTCGAGAGCGACGCGCCGCCGCTTGCGCGCCCGCATCGTCGTTCCGGCTCGTCGGCGTTTGAACCTTGTTTGAACGCGCGGGAAGACGCGACGGCCAGTGGTCAGTGTGGAAACCAACCATAGGCGGAGGACCCCCCATAGAAGTATTATTTATTATTCTGAGGCGGGAGGCGTGACTACTCTGTACGTAGACCGCGCGCGCGCGTGGTCCGGTGAACCTCAATTTCGTTCGACCCTCGGCAAAATCGGTCGAATATATCATACCGAGTCAACCACGGCTCGTTAAATTGTCTAATCGCATCGATTCCGACGCGTTTCAGGCGCGGGTCGCGGGTTCGGGCCGGGGAAACGTAGAGAGTCAACTTCAACATTGTCGTGAGCCTCGGACCTCGACGCCCAAGCTCCCCTGTCGACTACCCCTGCATGTACCAGGAAGCGCCTCCGGCGCTTCCCCGAGCGGCCCGCGCCCGACGCGGTCCGAGTCGCCCCGCGCCCGGCCCCGTCCCCGTAAACGGCCCGCAGCCACCGCGGCGTTCGGTCGGAGGGCGCGTCGATCGTCGAGCGTGGGACGGCCGCGCTCCCACCGCGCACCCTGCTCGTCGCGCGCGTTCCCTTCCGCGCGCGTTCCGGGATACTCCGACGGTGACTCGCGTTCCAGCCCCCGCTCTTACGCCGCCGACGTCGCTAGTCGGCGAAGTCGATGTCGCGCGCGTCGTCGTCGTCGAGCGCGTCGCCCGAGTCGCGGAGCCGCCGCTCGACGGCCGTCGGCCCGCGCTCGTCGGGCCGGCTGATGAACTCGGGCCGGAGGGGCATGCGCATGAGCGCGTCGAGGCCCTCGGTGGGCGTGCGGTCCCCGCGGAGGATCTCCGCGACGCCGAAGATGATCGGGAACTTGAGGTCGAGGCGGTAGGACTTGTGGCTCCGCTTGATGAGCCGCTCGACGCGCGAACGCCGTGTCGACGCCCTCGGCGACCTGCGGGAACTCG